GCAGGGCTTAATGTTACCCCACTGGAGGGCACCACGTGAGAGTTATTGTCTAGCTGGTTCAGAAAGTGAACTCAACAGCCTGGTTACATAATGGGGGGGGGGGTGTTTGTGGCATTGGTGTGGCATGCAAAGGGAGGATTGCATTTGCATCAGTGAAAGCACATTTACAATTCCACCAATCATGGGCCGCACAGAGGGACCAATAGCAAGTCCTGCATAGCACCAGTCACTGCTGAGTTACTGGGGAGGTGACAGAGTGACCGAGTGACCGAGCAGATCTGGGGGGGTTATCTGGAGTCTTGCCTAAACAGCTGCCTTCCAACGCTGAGATGGGCTGTCTGGAGTAGTCTTGACCGCGGCTTTAGCTTCAGAATTCCTTGCACCTGGAGTCTCCTAAGGTGTCCATGGAGAAACGGCCAGCCTGTGGTTGTGATAGCCTAGCCAGTCGCTCCAGGGATGAAAGCTAACCTCTCAGGGCTTCCAGGCAGAAGAATGATCTGTCAAAGATCTATTCCAACAGCTTTATTCAAAGAAAAAGTAATAAATAACCCAACCAGCACTCTCAACAACATTTACCAGTGATCAAGAATATTTAATAGTGTTTAACCTCTGTCCCCATGACCTAGGAAGGCATACATCTGATCTGTCTCGCTAAGAGAGTTATCGACAAACTTTCTTCAGAAAGGGTCAGGAAGTCAATATTTTAGACCTCACAGATCATATGATCCCTGCCAGTGCTACTCAACTTTGTTGCCATAGGCAAAATGCAAATGAATAAATATGGCTCTGTTCCAATAAAGCTTTATTTACAAAACAGAGGCTATCATTTACCAACCCCTGTCCTTGATGGCAAGTTCTGAGAGACAAGGACCAAACCACGATGTGCCTGTCCGTGTCTACTGCGCAGCACTTACCTAGCCTCGAGTTTGTGCTCTGGTGACAGTCCTTTGTGAGAGCATGGGTAACACCTCAAGAGGAAGTGGTTTTTCACTCCTTTAAGCACTGGACTTTGACACTCTTTTCAGATCATGAAATTCGTGATCCGATGTCCTGCCAAAAGACACGTCAAAAGAGTTCCCAGGAATTATGCAACATGCCCATCTAAGGCTTCGGGCTTTTTAGGCAAATAAGTATTCTGTCCTAAATAAAGCAAAGACTTAAAACTACAAACAGTGCCAACGGCTCAGACGTGACATTGGGACAGCCACCATGATCTCAGGCAGCTGGCATTAGCTCAGTGCTGAAGTGCCTGCCTCCAACACACTGTGGACTTGTGCATGTCAAGAGCAGTAGGCCATGCTCTGCCCTGGGCTGGGAAGCCGAATCTCTTGCTGCATTGCTCCCGGGATCATGGGAGAGGCAGTTCAGAAACATGTTGGGGGGTCTAGATCTGGAGGCAGACAGTGCGTGGGCCACGAGAACTAAAGCAAGTGACTTCTATCTTTCCCATTTCAGTTCTTTCCCCACAGTTTGGAAAGAGTAATATGATTGACCTCCATGGTTTGTGTGCAGATGAAAAGGGATGGTGCCCAGCGTGTTTCTTATTTAACAATCACACAAGAATTGGCTTTGCTATTTTCTATGCCAGTGCACCGCTCGGCTGAAGTAATTGCCCAGTGCCGCGTTGGTCTGGGTCTGAGTGGACGGTGAAGCGGATGTCTAAGGACAGCACCTGCCACGACTCTGCAGGAACAAGAGCAACAGACAAGCAAGGCGTCCTCCAGCATTTCTCTTCCTCCAGGCTCTTTCCCCTACCTTGCTTGGAGTTTTCCATGTCAACAGTAGGGGGCGTCTGCAGTTCCGGAAACTGGGGCATCTTCTAGAACCTAAGGTGCGGGCTCCCAAGTCTTACACACAGGAGAGGCAGAAACTGCCTCTCAAGCGCCTGAGAACAGGCGGTTTCAGCCAGGAAAAGAATCTGGGCACCTTTTCACGTGAGCTACATGGAGCAGCTTTCATTCCCACTTTACAGTGAGTAGCTGCCGAAGCATCGGCCAATCAAGGCCTGGGACGCCTCTGACTACTCACGGGATAGCAGGAGGTCACCCTGTGAGAACCATGGAGGGCATAACTTAAATGAGGGTCAAGGAACCTGGCAGAAATAAAGCATGATATGTGTAGGGCGGCATTGCTTAATGGGAATGATGATAGGGGTACAGGATAGCAGTATCAGCCGCCATGGATCTAAAATGGCTTTAAGTACAGCTCTGCCCAGAGGCTACATGACCTCAGAGCACCTTCCAACGCTCTGGTTCTCCATGACGACGGAACAGGCTCATCAATTTCAGAATAATAGGGCAGGAGTTAGCGGCAGAGCCCATGTGAACTAAGGAAGAGGCAGGCTTTATTGCAACCAGAACACCAAAGCCAACCCTGTTAGGGAGAAGGAATTTAAATAACCTTAAGTCTTTATGAGATATCTGCTTGAAAACCTACCGGAGGGTGTGGCAGCTCATTCAGGAGGCTGAAGCAGAAGGCTCAGGAGTTCAAGGTGAGTCTAAAAAGACCCCGTTACCACTCCTGCACACAAATACACATGACCAAATTTAGGAGTCAGGGAAAGGAAGAAAGAAGAGAAAGCCACGTGTAAAGAAATAGAAATAAAGGTAGGCAGAGTAGCACATGCCTATAATTCCAGTATTCAGGAGGCAGAGGCAGAAGTGCAGCCAGTGAGTTCTAGACCAGCCTGTTCTACATAGTGAGTTTGGGGGGCATCTAGGGTAACATAGGGAGACTGCCCTAAAAGTCTGAAAAAGAAAAAGAAAGAGATGCAAGCGATTGTTCACTGTGTACAGTTGAGTAGGTGTTGACAGAGGGTCCCTAGTTTTTGGAAGCCTGTATTCTCTTCATCGATAGGCATGTTTCAGCAGTTTGGGGTTCCCCTGCTTCTGGACAAGCACAGCGCTGCCTTCTATTTGAAGAAATATCTTCAAAGATATTTCAAATGCAAACTTCAGTCCTATCCAAGTTCCAGCAATCTCTACTCTAGTTTCTCCATCCTGCATTCCTACAGGCTATAGGTCCCTATACTAGACACTCTCCAAGAATGCTGAGGCCGGGGACTTCCAGTCTGTGGAAGGGTCTAATCTATCTGTGTACTGTGACCTCTTACTCACTACCCCTTCACCCCAACCAGAGTGCAACTGACCGCTGAACTCCTAACGAATCCCTGTAATCAAACTGACCACGAGGAAAGCAAATAAACCCGACTGAACCACTGGCATCGACTATGGAGCAATGCCTGCAGGAACTTTAGGCGAGGTCCAGGTCTTTTGTCCCTGGTTGCTGGGTTGGTTGGCAGCCAGCGGGTTGTGAGCACAGGCACGTAGCTGGTATAGTCAACCGGGGTTGTCCCAAAATGACCTTTGTATTGTCAGGCCTGGGGTTTGCAGGTAGCAGAGATAAGCACAGGGTGGAGGTTCAAGTGTCATCATGTGATTCCTGCTGACCCAGAGAAGTGTCCTGGAGAAGGGATATTGGGCTGAAAGGTCTGGGCTCCGCCAAAGGTTTGCTCACTGCTGCCACTCTGTGTCCCTGACTTCAAGCGCAGGAATTGCATTTAGGAAAGCCCTTGATAACGCGGAAGAGTGGAGGAAAGAATGATATTGACTTGTTGAGCAAACAAGAAAAGTCTAGAGCACACAGGCATGTATTGAGAAGTCTAGGCCAAAGGGCATTTGCAAAGGTAACGTAAAGGAAGTACGTAGGGAAGTTTGTATTTGTAGGGAACTTTGCCTCTGAGTTCACATGCCACATACCCAGTGTCCACCCATCATCCAAGAGGTAGCCCACTATGTTTCTCCTCGGACCCCACAGCAATGCGATGCTTGCCAGGTCTCTTTATGTCTGATTGCTTTTCAGTTCTATGGCACTGGAAGAGCAGCTCAGGTTTGCTGAAAGCCACCTACAGCATCTGGGAGGTGACTCCTGGATGGTTCTTGAATGTCTCTTGGAGCTTCAGGGGGGATTTTTAACTCATCTCAACCTCAAAAAGAGGAAGAACCGTGCCACCACGGGCTGGCATGTGATCCAGGATGTTAGTATTTGGCTTTAAACAACACTCAAACTAACCAGAGCCTCCTAATTTCATAACGAAATTGGGGGAAAGAATTTTCATGAAAACCTACAGCACCTGAGCTCATTCTGCACTCGGAGGAGTCCAGGAAGAAATAAGGTCACAGGGCCTTGTTTAGCATGAGGCTGGTATGCAGTAGCTTCTCTCTCTCTCTCTCTCTCTCTCTCTCTCTCTCTCTCTCTCTCTCCTATTAAACACGCCATCTGGAAGCAAACTTACCATCTGGAAGAACTTCAGCTGGGTTCCAGATGAATCTCCCTTTGATCCGATCGATACGGATAGAAGAATACTCAGAACAAACTCTAGTCCAGATTCTGAGTTGGCTGAGGCAGTGTGAGTATGTCCACACACGGGCTCCAGCCAAGCCTTGTACGAATGGCTCAGGAAGAGTTTCCTCTCCAAGAAAGATTCAACCAAGCGAAAGAGAAAAGCACCCTGAGGAGGACTGGGCAACATACTACAGGAGAATCCCCGCTCACGTACAGCCCTCGGGTGACTGCCTGGGAGTGGTGCCGATCCGGGTTTTCACAAAGAGGTCACGGTCTGTTCTCATTGTCTAGCACATCTGAGGAGAGTACGAGAAAAAAAAAAGTTAAAGATTAGCTCGATTTTTTTTTTCTCACTGTGTGGCTGCCAAGCCACTATGTGCGCAGTGCCACCGAGATGGGAGAAAGAAAGCCAAGTGCAAAGGTGGCTGACGTTTTCGCAGCCACCTTAGCAGCCTGGAAGCTGAGATCCGAGGACTGGGCGGCTTTACCAGGCATCATGCAGGCCCAGGAAAGCTGGAGAAACGCAAGGGGGAGGTGCCGTGTTCCGTGTGTGCAGCGAGAGAGTGGGGGTGGGGAACCGGCTCCACGACACCGGTGGATCCCCAAATCCACAGATGCTCAGCTCTTTTATGCAAATGGAATATGCAATATTTGCATATTTTCTAGGCACATTCTCTCCTAGGCTTCACTTTTTGTTTTATTTACTTTGTACATTTGGGTGGGTGGTGGTGGGTGAGGGTGTACCACAGTCAGTGTGGGGAAGTCAGAGGACAACTCAGGGCAGTCAGTTTTCTCCTTCTACCAAGCGTGTCCTGGGAACCAAACTCGGGTGCTCAGGCTTAGGGGCAGGCTTTTTTTTACCCACTAACTAACTCTCATATACGTTAAAACATCCATAGTTTATGGGGCTAGAGATATAACTTGCTGAAGAATAACACCATTTGCTGAAGAAGCCTGAGGAACTGGTTTCAACCCCCCTGTACCCATGTAAAAAGTGGGGAGGCCACACATGCCTGTGGTGTAGGGGGTTCTTCTATCTATGTGTTGCTTTCATTGGTTGAATAAAGAAACTGCCTTGGCCTTTTGATAGGGCACCACTTAGGTAGGCGGAGTAGACAGAACTGAATGCTGGGAAGAAGGGCAGAGGGAGAACCGCCATGGAGCTGCCAGGTCAAACATGCTGAATCTTCTCCGGTAAGCCATGACCTCGTGGTGATATACAGATTATTAGAAATGGGTTGAATGAAGATGTGAGAGTTAGCCAATACGAGGCTCGAGCTAATGGCCAAGCAGTGTTTTAATTAATACAATTTCTGTGTGGTTATTTCGGGTGTAAGCTAGCTGGGCTGACAGGACGACAAGCAGCCCGCTCCTCCTGTTACACGCCTGTAAGCCCAGGGCTGTCGGAATCAGAAAAAGGAGGCTTTCTGAGACGTGGTGGTCACCATTCTAGCTCCGAGTTCACTGAAAGGCCCTGTCTTAAAGGAATACAGTAGAGGGAAGTGGAGCAGGACACCAGATAGCATCTGCCTCGCTGGTTCAACACATACAGGCACAACATGCACACACACAAACACACACACACACAGAGAAGAGAGAGAGAGAGAGAGAGAGAGAGAGAGAGAGAGAGAGAGAGAGAGAGACAGAGAGAATCTGTGAATTATTTCTAATACAACTTAAGTGCTGTGTAAACAAATTTAATAATACAGCATTGTGCCAGGGACAATGAGAAAAGATTTGTTCATGTTTCTTATAGATGCAAGTTGTTTTTCAAACGTTTTTAATCCATTGTCCTTGAATCTGCAAGTGCAGAACCACAGACATGGGGGGCCTGTACTGTACCAACCGGTGCTGTGAGGAGGGACATATACAAAGCACTCAGACTGACCCCTGACACTCAGCAGATGTTCCTAAACTGTTGGGTTAAATTTTGACTTTTTTAAATGCCTTCTTGTTGTGGAATATTAAGCACCACAACGGTATTCCTGTACTTGGGTGTCACAGGACTCAGCACGATAAGAGGGAACTGTATCTTAATATTGTATTGTTGGGATAAAAATGGTGATTAGAGAGGTGCAGTGAATTTCCCAAATCTCGTGTCTACAAAGATGGCCATCCTGAACTTGAAAGAGATGCCAGTGGGCTTTTAGCTTCAGGGACTCTTTCCTCTGTATGAACCACTTCTTTCTTTTCACAACCTCCAAGCCTTTCCTCCCTTTCTCCTGGAACCTGCTATAGCGCTGTCTTCATGTGCCTAGAACAGCGGTATACTGAGATTCTCGAATTTTCTTTCAAAGGAGCCATATTTGCGATACACACTGACTTGTTATGTTTTCTGCTGCTGTGATAAGATTCTCTGACAAAATCAACTTAAGGAAGGAAGTTTTATCTCTTTGTGGTGGCTCGTGGTTTGGGGAGTCTGTCATGGTGGGTGAGTCCTGGCAGAGGGAGCTCAGGACAATTGGTCAGGCTGCATTTGCAGTCAAGGGACAGAGAACAAGGAATGCTGCTGTTCAGTTGGCTTTTGTCTTTTTATGAAGTTCAAGGCCAAAGCCTAGGGAACAGCGCTGCCCACGGTGGACCTGTCTTCCTACTCATTTAAGCTAACAAACAATCCCTCATGGCAAAGCCTGGAGGCTTGTGTCCCTGGGGATTCCAGATCTCATCAAGTTGACAAGTGAGATTAACTATTACACATACACACGCACGTACGCACAACATACTTTTATGCATTTTATGTATATAAATTTTATGTATATATTATAGCTATATTAATTAAGCCCTTCAGATCACTTGGGGATAAGATTATCTATGTTCAAATACAATGTTTCTACTCTTCAATAAACTATTGGCAATAGCAAGAAGCAGAGAATCATAATTTGTTGGCTTTATATTTCATAAATTACATAAACACACTCACAATATTTAGTATGACTGTGCAATGGTTTCATAGGACCCAAGTTAGAAAAAGATACAGGAAATCTCTTGCAAAGCAGAGGTCTTTTTCTTTTCTTGTTTAGAGACCGCCAACGTCAAGAAAGAAGATTCCAGTGTGAAGCTGCAGCCTCAGTTAAGGCCTCTGGAAATCACCCCCAAAGGCCCTGTTTAAGAACAGCTGTAGCAATTTTGATAAACTGAACCCTTCGCAAGGGAAAATGTTCTGTATTTAGCTGTCTAAAAAGATGTTTCTTCCCCAGCCCACCCCCGGCCACTTTAGCTATTGGCGCGAACCTGTATGCCTTAGCCTTAAAGGGTTATTTTATCATAAAACGTCATGAAATTTGTATAACTACTCCATGCCCAGAAGGTTTGCATTGACTGATGGACTCATTCCTTCACTTTGTTTTTACATGTGTGTCCATGTTTGTGCGCACACGGGCGTGTGTGTGTGTGTGTGTGTGTGTGTGTGTGTGTGTGTGTGTACAGTTTAGCAAATTGAAAACATCCTGGGGTGGAGCCAGAGGCAGCTGGCTTATGACAGTCACTGTGTATCTGCGCTCAGAGGCAAAGAGAGACCAATGCTAGATGAAGGCTGATACTCCTCTGCCTGTCTCCTTTGTATTAGTCCAGACCTTCCCGACCAGCCCTGGCGACCATGCTACCCACACTCACGTCTTCCCTCCTCAGCTAAAACTTTTTGGAAATAACCTGGCAGACATACCCAGAGGTGTATTTCCATGGTGCTCCTAAAGCCAGACAAGTGGACGGTGAGAACTGTGTGTCTCACCTTGCTATCCCAGCATCAGGGACCCCTGCTTCATCTGTGTGGGCTGCCAGAATCCTTGGCTGATGGGCGGTAAAACACCATCCTCGCCTCTGTTTTCCCCTGAACTTGAGTGGGTCAGTGTATTCTAAAACAACTTGCAAAAGCTAACAGAAACAAATTCAGTAGCAACACAGCTCCTTAATTCCACTACCTGAGAAAAAGACTAATTTAAATCAACAGCAGTCTTAATCACAGCTTCGGGATTTCAAAGCTCTGATTTAATGAGGGGCTCCTGACTGGGCTGAGAGTACTGCTCCTCCCTTCATCCTCTTTGGCTGAGACCATCAACCTCCCAGTCTTCCTGGTGTGTAAAATGAAAGATTCCAGTGGTTCTCTTCCAAGGACCCCTCCGTCTCTGCATTTCCATTGTTCAATATGCTTATATATAGCCTGCAGTGAGTGGATTGTCATCTTAACTAAGAAGCCCACTGGCTATGCCCTGGTGCAAGACCATCACAGAAACTGCCAGAAGGATGTGATGATAAAAATAACAAAATGTTCCACTCCCTAATCAGCTCAGCAGTGGCCTACAGGAATGTATAGAGCTCTAAGTGGGCTTGAACGAAGAGTGATTCTTTAAATAGTAAATGCTGGGTTCATACTGTTTGCTTGAGCTTGGAGGAGAAAGGGAGTTGGGTAGAGGAGGCCAGTATGGTCCCTGCTCTCAGAGCTCAGACCTGAAAGGAGATGAGGACTCCAATACAGCTGCTCTGTAGTCAAGTTTGAAGTGGGTTATTATGAGAACCTCACGAACAACACACAAAAGATGGAGTGGTTAATTCTGCCTACAAAGTAAAGGGTTAAAGAAGGGTCTCATCCCAGGGGAAGAGAGGGTGTGATGTCAAAATCAGGCCCCCAAGAATAATATAAAAAGACAATAGGGCTGAAGCTTGCAGTTGGGTGGTCTGGAACCTGGGGGTCGAGTGAATTAAAGGGGAGACGCCCTGAGATGTGGCTTGATGAGAACAGAAAATAAATGGCTTGTAAATAATATCCAAAGCTCATTGTATGTATGTGTGGTGGGAAGGCCCATTTCTGTGCCTGTACAAACCAGAGGTCAGTGTTCAGTGTTTCTTACTTTGATTGTCCTGCTTTTAAAAAAAATATCTTTTATTAATTCTTTGACAGTTTGGTAGCTGTGTATAATATAACTTGATCAGATTGGAGCCCAGTTCCCCTTTCCACTTCCCCAGATACCCTTCGACATGTCCCCTTCCACCTTCATGTCTTTGGGTGGGGGCTGTGACCCACTGAGTCCCATTAGTGCTGGGGGAATGCTGCTGCCTGATCCCATTGGTGCGATCTTGTGCAGGCCTTGTAAAGGCAACCATCCACAGCTGCTGTGGTCCAGAAGACAGCATTTCCCAGAATCCTCTGGCTCGTGTGCTCTTTCTGCCATCTCTTTAAGTATGGGTAAACACAGACCTCACACCAAAGGCCTTGATGCTTCATTGTCTTTCAATGGCCAGCCTTCTCTAAAGAAATGATAAGGCATGGCAAAATGCAATATGCACGGTATGAAGACACAAGGACAACCTAGGACCAGACTCACAGGTGACAGAGTCCTGAGAACGGCCTGACCCGGCCTTCAAATATAACTCTGCCATAGCAGACAAGTGGAAACTGGAAGAAAGAATCATAGGAAATATGGAAATCAAAAACACCGTGACAGAAATGGAGAAGGCCTTTGATGGACTTATCAGTACGCCAGACTCAACTGTGGAAAGAACCAGTCAGCTTGAAGACATCAATGAACACTTCCAAGACTAAAATGCAAAGGAAAGAGCCTGTGGCTATTTAAACACTAAGAACATGGGGTTGGCCTTGACCTTTGTCTCTAAAAGAGGACACAAAATCCACCTGTCCCAGCTGGGAGGTATTCATTCTGCACTATTTACTCATGGTCTCCAGTGGATAGTCTGTAATGTTCAAAATCAAATTATAAGTTAACGGTCAAACAAATTGGGTAGACTGTAGACAGAAGTTTCTGTCCCAGCTGGTTCTACATTCATTCAGTCCCAAAGAAACACACAGAAACTTATATTAATTATAAACTGTTCCACCTATTAGCTTAGGGTCATTATTAATTAGCTCCTACAACTTAAATTAACCCATAATTATTGTTTATGTTTAGCCACGTGGCTTGGTACCTTTCCTCAGTGAGACATTCTCATCTTGCTTCCTCTGTATCCAGCCTTTCCTCTTCCCAGAATTCTAGTCTGGTTGCCCTGCCCATACTTCCTGCCTGGCTACTAGCCAATCAGTGTTTTATTAAACCAGCAGGAGTGACAAATCCTTACAATGTACAAAAGCATTGTTGTCCCACAGCAGTAGACTTGTAGTTAGATTGCACAAGAAAAGAGAGGGGATTAGATCAGCCATCTATATTCTTCTTTTTAGAATTCATTACATTTTTCATATATTTTGA